AAAGACCGTATAAGTCATTATAATCAGTAATTATGTCCCCACTGGATGCAACATATGCCTCGTTTGTAATGGGTTTTAATGTTTTTGTGTCGTCGCTCCGGCTGGACACGGCATCACAATATGGTAGGGGCCGTAACATTTCCGTCACACGCTTAAGGTATTCGGCCAATCACAACGCACTGGATAGCTGGCCAATCACAGCACACCTCACTTTTCAGACCGATGAGCTTTGTAAAAATCAATGCGTTTCAAAAAGGCGGGGCATAGAGGAGAAACAATAATGTACAGTATGTGGAAAATAATGTGTTTTTTTAACTTTAAACCGCATAAACACATTTCATTACACCAAATACACAAAATAATGTTCTTTTTAGCAGCATCATATGACCCCTTTAAAGGAAAAAGTAATTACTTGTTAAGCCAGATGACAGCGTTAAGGTCCAAGTGGTTAGTGGGCTCATCCAACATCAGCAGCGTGGGCTCCATGAACAGTGCTCTGGGAGGAAGACAATCATTTTCTCATGTCAGAACAGATTTTATTTTACTATCATAAAATTAATTAATAAATTAATGCATCTTCCTCATTGTGCCCACCTAGCCAGGGACACTCTCATCCTCCAACCACCAGAGAACTTCTTAGTGGGTCTGTTCTGCATCTCTGGAGTGAAAGACAGACCAGCCAAGATCCTACGAGCTTTAGCCTCCGCTGCCGCTGCTCCAATTGCCCTCAACTCCTCATAAACCTGCAAATGACACATACACACATGGTTATCTTCGACTACTCCATGGATCAGCGTATTTAGAGGGCCTCAGCGAGCTGCTCTCATCTGACCTTGTCGAGTCTCTCAGACACGCTGTCGTCTCCTTTCTCCAGCCGACTCTGTAGCTGCCGTTCCTCCTCCAGGAGCTTCAGTCTGCGCGTGTCGGCCTTCAGCACTGCCTGAACTGCAGGAGTGTCATCCGCCACCACCTCTGAGGAACGACAAAGAGAGAGAAGTCAGGGACCCAAACAGCTGGATTCAATGTATATATTAGACTGCTCAAATAGTGAGGATAAAAAAATTGGGAAGTTTATTACAGCTACTAACTAAAACTAAAACTATAAAAACATTTTGTCACTTGAATAAAAAAAGAAACATTAACTGAAATAAATATAAAAAAGTAAAATTATTTTAATTTATCTAGTTTAGTTTAACTTGATGTACTTACATAACTAAAAATGAAATAAAAATTTATAAATCCAAATCTCAACATTACAAACACAACAACAACAACAACAAAAAAAATAATTATATATATATATATATATATATTTTAATAAAACCTATAATAGTATCTTGATTATACTAAAATATCACTGGGTTGTACTGTACCTTGCTCACAAAGCAGCACATCAATATTGGGAGGAATGCTTAGAGCTCTGTTGGCGATGTGCTTTAGTAGAGTGGTCTTCCCTTTCCTGATTCAAACAGGAGTATGGAAACAGGTTTTACAATCATTACATTTCCTTATGTGCAATGTAGTAATGTCAAATTTAAACCATCAACCCACCCATTTGGACCAACCAGACCGTATCGTCTCCCAGCAACAATCAGAAGGTCTGCGTTAACAAACAGCTCTTTACCATGGGCTGAAATGCTGAATCTTTCCAACTATAAACATATAACAGAAATTAGTACATAGTACTCAGTGTTTTCAAATGTCTCAATCATCTCCCAATCATCTAACCTTGATGTCTGAAGCGTTTTCCAGCATGGCCTGTCGAGAGGACAGCTCAGCCTGAGAGACGGAGAAGTCTCCCTCGATGGCGTTCTGAGCTCGAATACTAGCCACCTGCCGCTCGTACTCCATCTGCACAGCACAAGAGGAAGTGTCTACAATCAGTGTTGCTATTGTCAACTAAAACTATTATTTGGTTATTAAAAAAAAATATATATATATATACAGCCATGGCCAAATGTTTTGGCAGTGACATAAGCTTTGTGTTTTGCAAAGTTTGCTGCTTAAGCTGTTGTGGTGTTCATTCACATTGTTTCTAGATTATGGTGTAGAGTGATCAGATGCATTGTAAATAATTCCTAAAAAAAAAGAGCTTTTCACAAAAAAAAACAAATGTCTCTGTGTTTTTTTTTATCCTGACACAAAATGACTAGCTAACATTAACTGACTAATCATATCAGCAGCACATGTGAAAGTGTGAATGAGTACTAGTCAGGTAAAATCATTTTCATACTAATTCGATTGTAAGAGCAGACTGATTATTATAAAAGGAGGGAAGAAGCGCTTCCAATCATTGTGTTCGTTAGCAATGGTTACCTCCAAAGAAACAAGTGCAGCCATCATCGCTTTGCATCAAAAAGTCAGGGAAGTCGTGGCCTAATGGTTAGAGAGTTAGACTCATAACCCAAAGGTTGTGGGTTCGAGTCTCGTACCGGCAGGGATTGTAGGTGGGGGGAGTATACCAGGGGAAATACCACGACTGAGGTGGGAGGAAATACCACGACTGAGGTGCCCTTGAGCAAGGCACCGAACCCCCAACTGCTCCCCGGGCGCCGCAGCATAAATAAATGGCTGCCCACTGCTCCGTGTGTGTGCACTTTGGATGGGTAAATGCAGAGCACTAATTCCGAGTATGGGTCACCATACTTGGCCACATGTCACGTCACGTCACAAAATGGCCTCACATGTAAGGAAATTACAAAGAATATTGCACCTGAAAGAACCATTCACCGGATCATCAAGAACTTCAAGGAGAGAGGTTCAACTGCAGTGAAGAAGTCTTCAGGACGTCCCAGAGTGTCAAGCAAGAGCCAGCACTCCTCCTCCTGAGGAGTCCGCTACTAGGGGTAGGGATGGGCGGATCGATCCTTAAGTATCTATACTGATGTTGTATCGAAAGATTCACTTTATCGATTCTAAAGTGCACTTTTTAACAATTAATTTTATTAATTTATCAAGAAATTCGGTGCATAAAATAAGCTTCTAAGTGGAAAAATAGACTATATTAGCGAACAATTCTGCGGAACACACGCAAATGCTGAAAGACAGAACCAATCTACTCATATCACATCTAGTGGTTTTGGATAAGAATAAAACGCCAGGTCCGACAATATCGTGTCGTTTTGAATTTAAATCTAGATTTATTCGCATTGGCCCATGGAAACCTCTATGAACACACTTGACTTGACCAAAAAAGCGCAGGGGACAAATTTACATTTTATTAAAAAGTGTTTACGTATTTTACACTCATGGTGCGCGCACACATTAGGATAGGTTAGATGCCTGCCTCCGTTGCGAGTCCCTATCAAGCACTTTACCGATTCAACTACTCTCCTCTCCTCCTCCTGCCTGGCTCTTTGGCCCGCATCACAATTACGCAATCAGCGCAAGCCTGTTCTTGATAAATCTGCTGTGAAAACATGGGAAAAGCCGACGAGGAAGAAGTTGGCGTGAAGCGAAAATAAGCTTCTAAGTGGAAAAATAGACTATATTAGCGAACAATTCTGCGGAACACACGCAAATGCTGAAAGACAGAACCAATCTATCTATATATATCTATATCTATATCCATATATATATATGATAGGCCTATACACTACCAGTCAAAAGTTTTTGCCTCTATGAACACACTTGACTTGACCAAAAAAGCGCAGGGGACAAATTTACATTTTATTAAAAAGTGTTTACGTATTTTACACTCATGGTGCGCGCACACATTAGGATAGGTTAGATGCCTGCCTCCGTTGCGAGTCCCTATCAAGCACTTTACCGATTCAACTACTCTCCTCTCCTCCTCCTGCCTGGCTCTTTGGCCCGCATCACAATTACGCAATCAGCGCAAGCCTGTTCTTGATAAATCTGCTGTGAAAACATGGGAAAAGCCGACGAGGAAGAAGTTGGAGTGAAGCGA